GGCAGAGTTCCAGCCTGCAATGGGCTGGGAGGGAGCAGGTGGAGGGCGGTCAGGCAGGGGTTGTCACGTGCATGTATATACATGTGGCTGCCAGGCAGCCTGCAAAGCAGCTCCTGCAGATAAGGAGTGGGAGTGGGGGGGAGGGATTGAGGCCCCCATAGGGAAGGAGGGAGGGAGTTGGGCAGGGCTGGGGCTTGCAGCCTGGGGCTGCAATGCATGGCTGCAGAGTCCCAGCAGGGAGTGAGACAAGGTTGCAGGTGGCTTGTCCAGGAGGTGGGGTGGAGAAGCCGGCTCCCCCATGCCGCATGCACTCTTGGGGGGCAGAGGGGCACATGCCCCCCAGATCTGTGTACCGCTAAGGGTTGGGGGTGGGCTGCCCACTGCAGGCTCGGGCTCCCAATTTGTTGCCCTCCCCCAGAGCCTCCACAGCTCAGCAGGTGGGACCTGGTGCTACAGGGCAGAGTGGGGCCACACAGGATAGCTGCTTGCCAGTGCAAGCTCTGTGCTGCCTTGGCGACATGTCCTCTGTGCGCCTGACTGTGGTGGCACAGGGCTGTGCTCCTCATTGCTGCTGCACGTGCAGAGCCACGTTGCCAAGGCAGTGCGGAGTTTGTAGCAGCAACAAACTTTGCTGCTCAGTCCCACTCTACCCTGCAGTGCCGGGTTGCACCCGCTAGGCTGCAGAGGCCTGGAGGGAGGGCAGGAGTGCAGGGAGCCCTGCCCTGTGCACAGATCTGGAGGTGTGGCTCCCACTGCCCTCTGGGAGTATGTGCAGTTGCAGGGAGTTGCCCCCCTCAGCCAGTGGCAATGCATAGGGGGTGCATATGCAGCCCCTGTCAGGCCACCCTCCCCACTTAGCCAGGGGGCAGGTAGGAGCACCAGTGCCCCCCCTCCCCCCTGCGAGGGCCAGCTGGGGAGCAGGGTTGCCAGAAAAAGTGGCTGCGCTGCTTCTGCAAGTGGCCACAGGACTTCCAGAAGCAGCACATGCCTGTTTCTTGGTGCGTGAGATCGGTGGCAGAGAACTCCCCAGTCAGCATGACTGGCCCCCAGGAGACCCCCCCACCCCCCTCCCCGATGACTGACTGGTTTCTGGGAGGGAACAGCTGCCCTGCCCTGCCTGACTTGAGGCACCAGTCACCCATGCCCCCAACCCAAGCCTGCAGCAGGGGAGTCGGGGAGCTGGTCTCCACTCCACTGTGGCAGCCTCAACCTCCTGCCGGGGCAGAGGGCTGCAGACTCTGGTCCCTGGGCCCATAGCTCTGGCAGCTTGAGGCCACCTCTGGTAGGGCTAGGGGAGGAGGGACTATGGGCTGGGAGTGAGGGGCATGAGCAGGGCTGTGGGGGGCCTTTCATATTAATCACAGATTTTAGGGGTTTTATCAGAGAACTTGCATTTTGTTTTATTTTTTAATTGGGAAAAAACAGGATCCTTGCTAATAAGTAGGTGCGCAAGAGGTAAGGATTTCTTATTGGAGAATAAGGTAAGGTAAGGATGCTCTTATTGGACCAACTATGTAGCTGTGATCAAGTTAGACGAGCTTTCAAATGTTAGATTTTTTTTTTCACATCTCTGATATGCAAGTACAGTAGTTAGCATTTTACAAATGCCTAGATGCAGAATCCCAAACCTAATGCTATTGCATCTAGAACCCAACTTTTAAATTGGCTTTTCTGATGCATTTTGTAGCTACCCTTGCAAATCTCCAGGCCTAAATTATCTTTTATACACTGAGATACAAACTTCACAAAAAAAGTAAAAGGAGAGGGGGAGCCCAGCCCATACCTCTTTCCTGAAGTTTCATATGAGTTGTATATTTGTAACACTTGACACCTTAATTTGCTCATGGGCTTTTGAAAATTAATGTTCCATAAATCTCTATAATAGTTATTTTAGCTTCTGTGTGTCTGACCGTGTAATTGTTATGGCTGGCTGCAGAATTTTTTTCCCTTTTAAACAGGCTCCATAAATTTGGGAGTGTAATTTGTACTGTTTATTGCAATTACTGGCTTTTTAAGTTTAGTGGGTTCTTCAGTTTTCTGTAACCTTTTGTGTATAGCAAAATCCAAGTTCTTGCCTTCATAGGTATGTCCTAAAGCCATAAAAAAACAAACAAACAAAAAAAAAAAACCAAAAGCCTGCCCCAGCTAAAAGGATTGTCGTCTTTTTTTTTTTTTTTTTTTTTCCCCCCCTTCAGTGAAAGTAAGCTAAACACAGTGTTCTGCTTTAACACCATTATGAATTAAAACTCAGTTCTTGCCCTTAAGGAGTGGACAGCTGCTTCATTGTTGCTACTGGATTGGCTAAAAGTGGGTTGTGCTTTGTACTCCAGTGTGGGCAGAAGCAGCATGGTTGCTACTTGCTAACCAGATGGCAGAGCTAGAAGAGCTTCCCTGCCAGCAGTTCCACTGAACATGGAAAGGTGGCAGCCCCGCTGCTTTGCTCTGGGGCATTGTTAGAGACTGTAGTGCAGCGATTCTCAACCTGCGCTTGATTCTCAGTGCTGGGGCCTTTTGAGGTGTGCATCAAGGTGTGATGAGAGAGCAGGCTTAGGTCATCCCCAGTGCCCTGCCCTGCTTCAAGGTGAGCACTGTAATAGATCTAATTTTTTGTTTTTGAGATTGGAGCTGCTTCATTCACAGAACCACTGCCTTAATGACACCAGGGAACTGAAGCTCATCTGTGTAGGTCAGTGGTTCCCAATCTGTGGCACGGGTAGCACCAGTGGTACACAGACAACCTGCCAGGGGTACACGTTAACAGATTTATTACAGGTACTTTATATGACCAAGATTTGCTGGTGGTACTTAAGGTTGTCATTTTAAATTGGTAGTGCACAATCAGTCAGAGATTTTGGGAACCACTGTAGGTCACCAAGAGCTTCCTGGCTTTGACTCAAAGGGCAGCAGCCTTGGCTTATGGCAGGTGCTGCCACCCAGACAGGTGGCAGTTGCAGGAGTTTAGAGGGTCACTCTTTGGGGAGGTGGCAGGCGGGGCTGCCCTGCTGGGGCGGGTTAAATAGCTTCAGCAAAGGGCAAGGGCAAGGACGTAAGAAGTCGGCTTGGGGAGTGGGAAGGAAAAGGGGGCAAGCAGGGGGCAGAGGAGGAGGAGACGACCTACTGCCCAGGTGAGCGTTGGGGGAAGGGAACCGGCGGTGTGGCCGGAGCAGCCTGGCCGGGCTGTTCGCTGAGCCGCTCCTGCCTGAGGCCGCACAAGGGGCAGCGCGGGAGAGCAGTGCTGCGGCCCCGCGGGATCCGGGCGCCTCCCTGCCCCGTGGGCGCGGGGAGGGGGGGGAGGGCGCTACCGTAGTGACTGGTGTAGCAGGTATTAAAAAAAAAAAGTAGAAGACCAAGTACGGCTGTGCTGGGGTGGGGGCAGTGCCCCTCCTCCGCCCCCCGCGCACGGCGCTGCGTCGGCTGAAAATAAACGCCCTTCCAGAGCGCGGGGGCTTCCCCCTCTCTCCGTGCTGGAGTAAGCGGCGGTGGCTCGTGGCTGGGAGGGAGGGCGGGCTGCGGCTT